TGCCTGGCACACTCCTAGGAACCCTAAGGTAAAGTTTTGAAAGGAGCTATTCTTCTCCTCTTTTCATTCTTTCATATAAACAGAACTTGAGGGTTGCCTGTGGAAAGAACTGAGCAAAGATACAGATGCTTTTAAAAAAAGGATACAGCAAAGTGTATCACAACTCCAAAGAAATTATTTTAACAAGCTTCATAAACATACAAAAACAGTTAAGATTCACTGGAAATGGGCTATAGAAACATGCTCCATCTCTGTTCTGTGTTAGCGCTAAATCTATCACTGGCCAACTTGCTTGGCCAATGGCCAACTGATCAGCATCCACAGAATAATTTATTTGACATAAGTGATTCAGAAGGGACCCCTGCCCTGCCTCAGGCTCAAAAGTCAACACTCATACACCTTGCTATCTGAGAGAGCCAATTTTTTTCCTCAGCGCTGTCAGTGCCCCCGTGACAACAGCCTGCTGCAGTCTATTGTCGCCTCATCCATTCCTTTGAGAGAATTCTGGTGGAAGAAATGGAGACTTCCAGAGAGATGATCCAATCCCACTCTCTACTGTCCATCACTGGAATTGCAAGCCTGCAACAGCACTGCATTCGAGTTTCTTTTTTAGATATACGAGTCAAGCTAACTCAGTCCTGTGTCACTTTAACAAGTAAGAAACATTGTGCACTACACATCCCCCCAAACTTTTTTTTGTAGAATTGTTCAGTTATTTCCAACATTTGTGATCCAACAGATATTTCATCCAGACTATAAGTCAGCAACTGCATCTCTGAGTTCTTTACATTTATCTAGGCCAGTGGTTCTCAACCTTTTTAATGCCGCGACCCCCAACCAGTCGTAAGTCGAGGACTAAACCGGTTGTAAGTCGAGGACTAAACCGGTCGTAAGTCGAGGACTAAACCGGTTGTAAGTCGAGGACTACCCAACCGGTCGTAAGTCGAGGACTTTCCCTGCCCAGGAGCGCCGCGCATGCGTGGTTCCGCCCCCTGCACCGGCCGAGGCGTAGCTGGCAAGCGGCAGAGATGGAGCAGGCCGACCACCAGCTGGCCCAGCTCAAGGGAGGTAAGGCACCCGCCGGAAAAGGGGGAAAAATGGCGGACAGCCTTGCTTGGCGACCCCCGTGAAATGGTCGATCGGCCCCAAATGGGGTCGCGACCCATAGGTTGAAAACCGCTGATCTAGGCAATAAAGAAATAAATGTATGAATTGTTATTCTGAGTTACAGCTGCATATACCCCTATAGTTCATGCATCCAAGTTTTACAATTCATGAGGAACTTTATATGCATTTCTGTGCTACATACATTCAAAGCACCATCAGATAGCAAAGAGTTGCAAAATTTTGTATTTTGCTGCCTTCTAATTATTGTCTGGATTTGTGCAGACAGATATAAGGATGCTTGGGAATATATGAGGTACTGTAGAGTTCCCTATTCTAGGTGCATTAGACAGCAGCTCCCAGGGATGTCCAAACATAAATTCTTTTTTGGGGGGGCAAGCATCAAATTAGGGGAAGGCTGTTCTAACACAACAGGTAAGATAAAGAGTGACTGCAAAAGCCTTACCTGGCAAATTGTTTGCCATGTAATCCTAAACAGGGCTGTTCAGAAGGATTGCATACAAATCCTTATTTGGGAGAGATTGTAAACCAATAAACAGTTCTCCCTATCCGACATTCTTCTTCTTCTTCTTCTAAGTGGCAATTAAGTACGTAAGTAAGATAACAGATAATTTTCTGCTACAAAGCTTTACAAAAATCACTGCAGCTACTAATTAGTAAAGGGTTCTTAAGTGAATTACCAGGTAAGGACACAAGAAAGACAAGCAACTGTCTAGATCTCTCTTAGCAACAGCCTGCCCCTCCCTTTCTTGTCTGCTTCTGAGGCCAGAAAAAATAACTTTCTACAAACACAGCCAGATGGTTGTATTGAAGGGCAGGCCTTCCAGCAACAAAAAAGATACCAGCTGCAAATGCTCTGCCCTGAAAACCCTGTTCTGCAAATGAGGCCATCCTTACTTTTAACAAGACAAAGAAATCTCTGGCTTTGCTTCTCCAATTGTTCTCATGTGCATGTGGGGAGGGGGCATCTGTGACTCTGACCTGTCTAATGAGCTATTTTGGAACATGGGTCGTCTACCACTCTTCTTAAACAGAGGTAAACCCATGTCACAAAAGAGCCCATGTCACAAATAACAGAGCCTGTTGAGCAGCGCAAGATAACACAAGGGAGGGAACATCTGATAATGAGCAGTCTCTGTCCTTGACTAATTCTGCAAGAGAATAGCAGCTCCAGCTGCACAGCCACAACCAGCAGCGTCCAGAAAGAACCTGTGAAGTAGACAAAAATCTGGCATCCTTTTCCCAATAGCAATAGCCCTGTTTGGCAGAAACAACAGCAACCTTATATAGGTAACCCTGGCTTAACTATGGTAATTAGGGCCACAGATTCTGTCACTGACAGTCGTAAAAGCACAATGTCATATGACCACACTGACTTATGATGGCAGTTGTGGCAGTTCCAGTTATCATTGTTAGCCAAATCCCCATGCGATCGCAGTGTCCTGTGGTCATGTGATTCCCGTTTGCAACTTCCTGCTGGTTTCACCATTGATTTGGCTTGTCAAAAACCAGCCATGAAGGTCGCAAATGGTGATCACATGACCATGGAACGCTGCAATGTCCTAATTGCAAGCTGGTTGCCAAGTGCCTGAATCGTTTTTACATAATTGCCGGGATGCTGCAAAGGCCACATTTTCAAGGAACAGTTTCAAGTCTCCACATCATAATTTCAATGATCACTGAATAAATGATCACTGAAGGAGGACTACAGCAGGGCTTTTCAACCAGCAGTACGCGTACCGCTGGTGGTACTTCGGCACCTGGGAGGTGATATGCGACCTAGACAAGTGTAGCGGTGGGGGATGAGCTAAAATGGTGGCAGTGTTGATGTGCTGAAGTGGCGGTAGCGCCACACAGGCCTGGGGGAGAATCAGCTGGAGCTGCAGTGTTGCTGGGGCTCTGCTGAGGGCCCAGGATTGGCACCTGCAGCTCCAGCTGATCTGCACTTCTGGCAGCCTCTGCTATCATTGGGAGTAGCAGACAAGCCTTGGGGTAAGAGAGTCAGCTGGAGCTGCAGGGCTGCCGGAGCTCGGTAGAGGCCCCAGGATCAGTGCGCGAAGCTCCAGCTGATCAGCACTGTGTGCAATGGCCAGTTGGGGAGTGGGTGACTACAAGGGGGAGTGAGACCAGGGTAGCGACCGATGCTGGAGCTCTCCCTGAGCCACAGAGAGTGGTACATCCGGAAGAGAAAAGGAGGAGGAGGGGGGAGAGAGGAGAGGATATAAAAGGAGGAGATTTTGGCAGGAGAGGGAGAGAGAAAAAAGACAACAGGGAAAGAGAAGGGGACGGAGAAAGAGAGAGGGAGAAGAGGAGAGGCTTCTGTGAGAGAAGTAGAGGGATCAACGAAGGCGTAGACTAGAGGCTGTGAAAGAGAGAGAGAGGAAAGGGAGAAAGGAAAGTCATCAGGTTTTTGACACCTTGCTAAGCACTGGTGATACTCTAATATTATCATGTCCTAAAAGGTTGAAAAGCGCTGGACTACAATACCTGTAGTGAACTCCTTGGGGATAAAATCAGCCTTAGCTGGAGGTGCCTGTCTCTCTCTTCCAGTTGAAACTCATCTTTGTGCTTTGGGTTCAGTTCTAGTATTAGCACTCAACCTGGGTTTCCAAGTGGTGACTTGTGCTTGATAGTGTCCACAGTAAACCTTGTGTCAAGAGAAAAGAAAAAGCGTGATTTTTAACACCAGAATAGCTAAAGGTGATTTAAGGCATCTCAGCTGCAGGATGGGGATGAGATAAAGGGAAAGGTCTCAACTGATGTGGCCAGGGCTTTTTTTCCTCATAGAACGCCCAGAACGGAGTTCCGGCACCTTTTTTGGATGGAACCTTGTAGGGTAGGCAAGGCGGGTTGTATGACGTGTGTGAGTTGCGGCACCTTTTTTTTTTTTTTTTTTAGAAAAAAAGCACTGGATGTGGCATCTAAAAGTAGTTCCCTGGTGAGACATGAGCCCTATGATTCCAGCAGGCCTATGGAATTTGGGCTGCAAAACTCCAGCTGACCACAGGTTGGCAGCAAAGTGACAGCATAAAACTCAATGTTTTTCAACCTGAGCAACTTGAAGACTTTATGGACTTCAACTCCCAGAATTCCCTAGCCAGCATATTCTGGGAGCTGAAGCGCGCCTGTCTCAGTTGCTCAGGATGAAAAACCCTGTCCTCTGCCGCATCTCCTGATGAGCAGGATTTATTTTTTTTTGCAACCCATATACAGTAGCCAGTCTCGATTGGGTTGCTTATGCTTCACTCATCTCGATTGACAGTTATGCAATGAGGACAGGACTCGTGTAGACGTTCGGAGTGCATAAACGTACAAAAGAGGCCGACCTCTAGATGAATATCATCTGTCTTTGCTGGGACAGAGACAAAACCCGCCCATTTATGAAAACTGCAAGTTAGAATAACTGGAAATGAAATTCAGGAGCAAAAAGTAGGACTTGCTGCTGTTTGGATCGAAATCTCTGAGTCCTCTTTTAGGCATCAGAGAAAAGAAATATCCTCTAATGACTCTACATAATTCCTATATCTTCGTTGAAACGTGCCCAGGATGGACCGGCTCAAAGTATGTCGAGTACAAGGCCACAAAAAAGATCAGGTGGGCTAGTGTAAGATTTCATTGAATAACTCTCCTGTCAATATCATGCCGAGGATGCCTATTGGTTGCTACGAGTGTACATGTAATTTACGAGAACTTCCTTTCTATTGGCTCCTTCTCCTAGCTGTTAGGTGGCTGTTCTCGAGATTTTTCTTTCCTATTGGCTACGCTTTTCGTTAGAGGCGGAACGTTCCTTTCAGTTTAGAACCCGGCTGCTGAAGGAGGGCATTGCCGTTGAAGCCCCGAAGAAAGGAGACAAGAAGAAACTGGGGTTCCCCTTGGCCCTGTTTGGGGGCACTCTGGTCGTCATGGAGGACGGTATCTATGGTAAGGCTCCCTGAGAATTTTCCATTGGGAAGCTGAAAGAGGGGAGATAAATGGGCAGATAGTCCCATTACGAGACCCGCCCAATAACTACAATAAGAAAAAGAGTGGGTGGACTGAGCCATTCAGTACCAGTTGCGTAGGGGGCGGGGCTGATCCTTACAAAGAGGGGTGAGGCTGGAGTAAACCATGCGAAAATAGAAGGGGAATGCCGGGTTGGGCCATTCCATAGTAAAGAAAGGGGGAAATCGGGATTTTATTAATTTAATTATAGGCAGCCGACGCATTCCATCCACTAAGATATACCATTACATGAATCGGGCAAGAGGGGGTGGGATTTTTAGGCTATACCATGACAGGAGGGAGGGTGGAATGTACCATTGTCTGTGACTTCCAATTAGATAAAATGGGATGAGTCTGTTTAAACGGCTATCGAAAAAGATGGAGGAGGGTGAATTGGCAACCTATTGAGGGAATTGATGAGGCGGCTCTAAAAAGCACCGTTATAATTTAAATGGGAAGCTGTACATTCCTCGGAGGGAAGGGGCAATTTGTGATTGGATCCAACCATGCTGCGAGGGGAAGGGGGAGAGAATTGTCTCAATACTGTACATCATAGACTCTCATTCTGTTTATTTTTAACGTTACCCCTGCTAACAATATTACAAGTTATTTATTAATATTATTTAATTTAAATGTGTGTGAGCTGCCAAGGGTTGGTTTAAAAAGTCTTGGTTAAAAACGGTCTTGGCATAATTCATTATCATAATGATTTTTATTAAAGTGAATTGGCGGTCCAGAATTGGCTCGAACTGTGGGATGAGTGGCATATGAATTTAATAATAAATAAAATTTATATTATTTATGTGTTGGAATATTTCAGATTTTCATTGCCTCTGGGTTCCTTACATTTTCAATAAAATTTATTAACCCCCATTTCCTCTTTGGAACTGAATTAAAATTTTTGTAACTCAAAAAGATTTTGGATGTTATGCCCTGCCCCCAATTGTTTTACAAACAAACAAACAAACATAAAACACATAAGAATTATTCAGAGGACTGTATGTGCATATGCAAGGCTGTCTTCATTATAAGTTCTTGTTCTGGGTGCGCCTCTGAGCTGAAAGCTGGACATCCTAGAGGAAGTGGCTTTTGCATAGGTTTTTTTTTTTATTATTTTATATCTCTTGAATGGCATACCTGATTCTCTACTCATCTCATTTCCTGCTTTTAACAACCTGGTGAAATAGACTGTATAAGTGTTACTGACTCAAAGGCACTGTCCAGAGATCAACATTTGGACCTGTGAACTTCACTTTCTTGACAGCTTGGTTCCTCTTACGCACACATTGTAAATTAATCTTGAATAACCACTTTAAAACTTGCATCTGCTAAATAAGATTGGAATTGTTTTAAGTTGGTCATAAGTCCTAGCTGGAAGGAGGACTTTGATGTAAACAACATGGATGATGAATAAGTACTTATACAACATTGAAGATTGGCAGTGCATGGACTTGCCTAGCCCAAAGCAGAGAGATGCAACTTAATGCTAGGAAAAATTCCTCGTAGCAAGAGTGATTGGACAGTGAAATCAATGCAAGGGGCTTCCTACTGGTGCATGTGTTCATACAATGGCTTAACCACCACCTCTTAGGGATGCTTTCATTTGGATCGGGTTATAGACCAGTATTTGTCAACCTCAGCAGCTACCATATAAGATGTGTGAACTTCACCTCCCCATTCTGGAATTATGAGAGATAAACTCCTCACATCTTCAAGTTGCTGAGATTGAGAAACACTAACATAGAAAGCTGAAGAGATAACTTTAAGGATACAGGCAAGCTTATTATATAAGCTAATAAGGTTGAAACATTCCTTGAAGCTCTGGGGAGCAAGATAATATTGGCAAGAGACTCGGACAAGTTCTTTTCTGATTTCACTGGAACATAAGAGGGAGGAGAGGTAAAACACAGCAAAACTTGCAAGATTCTGTTGTTAGAGCCTATCTCAATAAAATGTAGTTTTAGACTTCCTGTGAAATCTGTGTCTTTTTTGGTTAATAATTTAATTGAAGGTTTTAATAAGCATAGTAAAAATCAGTACAAACCAAGCTAGAAGAAAAGGGAAAATAAAAGTTCAGAAGATGCAGGAAGAAGAAAAAAAAGAAGGCAACAAAGACAATAATTAAAAAGTAACATCAGGCATATGCTAATATACTGACTATTCATCCTCTTTTAAAGTTACAAATAAAAACAAAAACTTTTATTAATATGCAATCAAGAAATCATCATCTTTTCAATCCAAGTTCAACAAAAAAAAAGTCCATTAGGACTTAATAGAAATATCAAACAAGCAGCTTATCCCTGGTCAAATAGTCCAACTTTATATTCCTTTTTTGCTCTGTGCAATCTTGACCTTTAAATCATTCCTATGGCATATTGGATTTGATCATCACTTTTTTATATTTAAATGGAGTTTTCAAATCTTCCATTAGCCTACTCTGAAAATCCCATAAAGAGGCATTGTCCAGGATTTTTTGCCACAGCTGTTCCAGACCTAGGTCCTTTTAAAAAATTTGTCTTAGGTATTCCCACTTCGTTAATATCAGTTTTCTTATTTTCCATGCCTTCAAACTCTAATGTGTATGTCAAGTGAAGGGTTTTTTTTAAAAAAAAAAAAATTCTCATCATCTAAAAGTTTCTCCATTAAAATCTATCTTTTCTGAGGTATTAGTTATTACTATTTCAGTTCATGCTTCAAAAAGCTCTTTTAAGATAAGAAAAGGTTATACCCGGCTTACCCATTTAAAGCCTTTTCTGCCTGGGCTTTTATTTATTAACATTTATATGGCCTCTCATCTCACAAAGTGACTCTGGCCAGCTTACAACAAACTCCCTCTAGTGTTCATTAGTTTTCTTTAAGTCATTTCCTATGAGTATATTTACAGAGTTTTTCATATCTTATAGCAAAAATAAACACTCTGGTCTCCCAATCCATTTAAAACTTTCTTAATTTTTTTTTTTTACTTTTTGCCAATTGTATATTACTTTAAATTCTCTGCTTAAAATTTCTTAAATCCAAACAAGAAAGTGAAACTCACCAGGTGTCAAATTAAGGCTGCGGTTTTGAAGATCTCCAATATCCATGAAATGGTGAAATGAAACGTTTCTGAATGTGATTCCAAAGTGCGTTCGATTGGCTTAATGTCTTTAGGAAAAATTCTGCTGCTACTGAGAGCAGAGATGTCATCTCTTTCGCTCCTCGTGCTCAAACCCACAAGAGACCACTATTTTATGGTCTTCTCATAAAGAGCTGTTGTGGCCAAACTCTGAAGCTCTCCTTCAGTGAGATTCGAAGAACCAATCTACACTCCTTCACAGTCAACCATGACTGAAGAAGCCATGGGGAATCTGTTTCTGATCTGGTCTACCTTGAAGGGCTGATACTATCTGAGTAGAAAGTTGGACTTAATACACATATTGGTTGTCCTAGATTTACAACCATAATGGATCCTGCCCATTGTGGTCTCAAGTTGTGACAATCATAAACCAGTCACCATGTGACTGGCCCAATTTTACAACTTTTTTTTGTGAAAATGAGAAGTAAATGCCGATTTTCAGCAAAACATCATAAATCAATCATGTGATGGGGGGGGGGGAGAACCAGCCATTGGAACTGAATTATAAGTACCTTTTGGGGGGAGGTCTGTTGGAACTTTGAACAATTGCTAAGCAATGGCTGCATGTCTGTATGTCTCCTGATTATGTGACACTGTCACAAGTTCCTGAAATGGAGGCATGATTGGAAAAGACACCTCTGGCTTTCCCTGATGGTTCAAAGTGCCAAGAGGAGTATGTTTTCTTCAGTCTGCTTCCTTCCTTCCATTGCAGTGCCTCCAGATCTGACACCAGAGGAGAGGCTAGAGTTGGAGAACATCCGGCGACGGAAGCAGGAGCTCCTGGTGGAAATCCAACGCTTGAGAGATGAACTCAGCGAAGCCATGAATGAGGTGGAGGGGCTGGAGGCCAATGAGGGAAGGTGAGGGATTCCTTCTCCCTAGAGAAGATTGTCTAAGGCACAGGTTCTCAACCTTGGGAAATTTAAGGCACATGGACTTCAACTCCCAGAATTCCCCAGCCAGCCATACTGGAATTCTGAAAGTTAAAGTCCACCCATTGCCAAAATTGGGATTCCCTGGTCTAACGACTGCTTTCCTAGCAAGACATCATGATTTCAAGAGAGATTTTTCCGAGACTGTTCCAGTCTTCTCTGAACATATGAGTCACTTAGTCATCTCAGGATATGCCAGTTCTAATTATCTGCAGTTTCCTTGACTTCTGAGATTTTCATTCAATATATGATACAAATAATGTGGCTTCCATTGGCACTGAAGTATTTTTGAAAATTTGGGTGCCTTTAATTTTTTTAAAGATACCCCTCACTATTGAGCAACACTTTTATATAAATATCACTACAGGTATTTATTTCTTAGCAACCACAACTGGGACCAGCAACTCACTTGTTAAGTGAAGTGCTTGCAAAATGAAACACAACTGTACTTACAATCCTACTTCAACTTTCCTTTCCTGTACAGACCTGCAAAGGTCGTGAATGTGAGGATTGGTCATAAAACTACTCTATCACTTTTGTAACTCTGAATAGTCACTGTATGAGGCTGTTTCTAAATGAGGACTATCTGTATCTTAAGAAGTGTTCTGCTCATATTTTGGAGAGAAAAGGAATGGCTCTGTAAAGATGGTGCTTATTAGTATTTGGGTGAGCACAGTTGAAACTCAGTGAAAATACTGCTTCTTCAGCTGTATAGTGTGTACTCATGCACGGTTTTAACTGATGAAAGTTGGTCAGTCTCATCAAAATCCACATAAGTCAATGACAAAAAGTTATTTTATTGGGTTGCAGCCTTAATTGAAGGAGATACTAGGCTGAACCTCTTCCCTTGCCTTGGGGGAACCATTTTTTTCCTCTGTTGTGGATTGGGGAGCTGAATTAAGTATATTCTTCATAGCTACTTATATGATATTATAAGAACAAAGGGGTATTGTGAGGTAGCATCATTCTTGAGAAAGAGAAAAAAATAAATGATTGCCCGAAAGGATCTATTTATTTTAAATAGTAGGACCCCAGAATCTATATCATATGGAGAGGGTATACCCTTGTATCATGCAGATCCATCCTTTTCCTTTCAAATAATGTGTTTTTATATTTGCATCTGAACAAGTTAGGATTTGGTTGCTTATGCCCGTTATCATTTAAATCTACCTTTAAGTATGTCCTTCTCATTTATATTATCTTTCCAGCTGCTATACACAGAAAAGTATATATTTTAAATGAACAAAAGACAAAATGCTGTATAAAAAATGATAGCGAGAGCATGCTTAGCATCCACTGAAGCCGGTAGCATTCACAGGTAGCCCTGGGTTTTTTACCACCACTCGTTCAGTGTCTGTTTGAAGTTACGGTGGCAATGTGTGTATGATTCCTGAAATTATGGCTGTTGCAGTACCCCTGTGGTCACACATCAAAATTTGGGCACTTGGCAGCTTGCCATACTTATGACCATAGGGGTATCTTAACTCTATCTACCTGCCTACCTCCTCCTCATCTCTGCCCTTTTGGATGCTCTGCACAGTAGTGTTCCTCGGACTTCGGCAGTTTCACCCACCAGCCACCTCTAGGTCCGTTCCAGCACTACCGCTGCCATCACCACCACCACCACCAAGGAATGCTACTTTAAGCTCCACGCTACAGCCAGGCACTACAGCACAAAGCCTTTGTTGCCCTGCCCTCCCGTTAGCCCTGTCATGCCCAGCTGATCTTCACTATCTTCCTCCTTCCACTGCTGACAAGCTGTGCCCAGCCTTGATTTATGCGAGGCAGCTTCTGGCCATGTCAGGCCTTCTCCCCAAGGCCAACTACACCTTTCTCTAAATTTTGTGTGTCCGTCTTGCAATCCTTCAGAAGGCCTGAGTTGGGGCTGAAATAGAGGCCCAGCAGTGGCTGGCTGAGGCTGCTGAAGGCCCCAGGCCCCTGCTTTAGCCCTGGCACCACCACTTCCACCACCTCTGAGGGGTGTCATTGTGCAGGGTGGCCAAAAGAAGATAGGCAAGTGGGGAGACTTACAGAGGAGGCAGCCCCATACCTTCCAAGACCTGGGGGGAGGGCAATCTGGGCATGGTTTGAATCAAACGGGTCCTCGTCTAACAACCAGCCGGATTTGGTTAAAGGTGACAACAGAGCCTGCTGGTCATGTGATGTCGTGCTTTATGACTGCCGTCACTTAGTGATGGAAATTCTGTTCCCAATTACTATCATTAACCGAAGACTATGTGTGTATTCAAAAGCCTAAATGAGCTTTAAATGTTGCAGTCCCTTTCTGTAAGAGTCAAAGGTGTGAATTCTTTGTCTTGGACAGTAAAACTCTACAGAGAAATCGGAAGATGGGGATGGGCCGTAAGAAATTCAACATGGATCCCAAAAAAGTGAGTGAGGGAAAGGTTTGCATGTTATGATATCTAAAGATTTGTCCAAGGGAAAACAAATGTTTCCTGATGACACAATTGCTTGGAATGAGAAATCATGATTTTTTTTCCAGGCCTCCTTGGGATAGAATTACATGATTGAAGGGCAGGAAACCCATTTGAGAAACCTAGCGAGCCAGTTTGGTCTAATACTTAGGTATCAGGCTAGAAAGCAGGAGACTATGAGTTCGAGTCCTGCCTTAGCCATGAAAGCTAGCTGAATGACTTTGGGCCAGTCATTCTCTCTCAGACAAACCACCCCACAGGGTTGTTGTGGTGAAAATAGGAAAATGAAGGTCTGTTGGATGTGTTTACCACCTTGAGTTATTTGTACAAATCATGAAGGTGGGATGAATGAATAGATGGATGGATGGATGAATAGGTAAATAAACTGACTAATTAACCTATCAGATTTCTGAATTAAAGATATTTTGAGGGTGGGAACGTACTTGTGTCTGTTCTACAGTTGTTGACTTAATTACCTTTTCCAGGGAATACAATTCCTGGTGGAAAATGAACTTCTGCGCTCTACACCTGAGGATATTGCTCGCTTCCTCTACAAAGGGGAAGGCCTCAACAAGACAGCCATTGGGGACTACCTTGGCGAGAGGTGAGCAGGAATGGGAAAGATGGAAGGCGCAAATGAGAGAGTGAGAAAGATGCATCCATTGATAACACAGTGCAGATTAAGCTACAGTAGAGAGCTTCCCGGGACACTGGAAAAGAGCACAGATACTAAAGTGTAATAGATTAAATTTATTCAGGAAGGAGGCGTGTTGCCAGTGAGAAAATACCAAATCTGAGTGTTTTAGATTGAATTTTAAGCAGATTGAAGAAGTCATGAGGGAAGAAAATAGGGTAAACATTTCAGTGACTGGGATGGTAAGAATGATTTTGCCTTCAAAAGGGGCAGGATTAACACAAACTCTCTTAATCTTTTATTCAGGGAGGAGTTTAATATTGGTGTCCTCCATGCCTTTGTTGATTTGCATGAATTTACTGACCTCAACCTAGTGCAAGCGCTCAGGTGAGTCTGGAAATCTTCAGCCATTTACTATATTAGAGTCCTCATTAGCTACAGTAGTTTTCCAAACGTTTGGCTGCAGTACTTCTCGTTCCTATGCTGAGGGGTGAAAGTTAAGAGCAAGATTTTACTGTTTTTCCTGCTAAAGAGAAAGCAGAGCTTGCCTGAAGCCACCTCTTCTGTTGTTGCCTTACCCAACTCAGAGCCCTCTAGATCAACAGTCCCCAACCTTTCTGGCTCCGTGGACCGGTGTCAGCAGCAGCAGGGGCAGGAGATGGTTTTGTGCGTGCCCCCTTTGCTTGTGCAAATGGAGCTTCACACACTCGCCTGCCACTTGAGCCGCAGATCAGTACCGGTCCATAGACCTGGAGTTGGGGACTCCTGTTCTAGATGGATGAGCATCAGTTCCCACAGTCCTTCCTTTAATTTTATAAGAGGAAAAATGCCATCCTTTGGCATTTGTCACATTTATTACACTGAATCAAGATTTGTTCCTGGTTTCTCTACATCACTATACCCCATTTCTTAACTATCTCATGATGTGTTTCTGTATAGACGGGTGGGGATCTTTGGCCTTCCATATTTTCTTAAACTATCAACTGCATAGTGCTGTGTTTACTATATGTGAACAAATTGTAGGTTATTTTTCCTAGGTAAAAAGGACAATGATGATAATGCATAAGGCCAAGCCCTATAAATGCATAGAAAACTAGAATTGAGAAGCACTATAAATGCATAGAAAGCTAGAACTGAGAAGACAGCAACAGACAGCACATGCTGTCTCTGCAAAGAAGCTGAAGAAATAGTGCAACATCTAATTAGCTGCAGCAAGAGGATCACACAGACTAACTACAAACAGCGGCATGACAATGTAGCAACAGTGATGCATTGGAATTTCTGTAAGAAATACCACTTGCCTATAAGCAAGAATTGATGGGACCACAAAATATACAAAGTAATAAAAAATGAAGAAACTAAAGTGCTCTGAATTCAAACAAACAACGATCTGCCATGTAACCCCCCAAATTTAACAATTGTTGAGAAAACAAAGAAGTCTAGGTAATGGACATTGAAACAGCTGAAGACAACAGAAGAGAAGAGAAAGAACTGGAAAAAATCATAAAATTCTAAGACTTGCAAATAGCATTATAACAACTGGCAAAAGAAAAAGGAAGGAAGGAGTCAATCTCTCTGAACGAAGAATGCATAGCCTAAATTTGAATTTGTTTTCTAAACATGCAATATTTGTACTTCTAGATGGATTTAGAGATACTGGGGGAAAATTAGAGTGGTCTCTCGTGTTGAGGAGCACTTCAGTCTTTGCTAGATATAGGGAATGCTGAAAATCAAATGCAAAGTAATGAAAGAGGATAGAAAGACACAGGATGCAAAACATCCCAGGCATGGAATCAATTTGTATAATGAGATCTGTAGGATCCCTAGTTTTCAAAATAAAGAATACATCCAATACAGGTAGTCCTTGACTTACAACCACAGTTAAGCCCAAAACCTCTAAGCAAGACAGTTGTTAAGTGAGTTTGCCCCATTTTATGACTTTTCTTGCTACACTTGTGAAGTGAATCACTGCAGCTGTTAAATTAGTAACACGGTTGTTAAGTGAATCTAATTTTCCCATTGACTTTGCTTGTTAGAAGGTTGCAAAAGGTGATCACATGACCCTGGGGCACTACAACTGTCATAAATACATGCCAGTTGCCAAGCATCCAAATTTTAATCATGTGACCATGGGATTGCTACAAAGATTGCATAGTCATAAGTCATTTTTTTTTTCAGAGCTGTTGTAACTTTCAGTGCTCACTAAATGAATGGCTGTAAATTGAGGACTACCTGTATTTCAGAGCAGACAAATGAAAACTTCCCCTGTGTCTGCATTCATGGCCTCCCGTTCCTCTGCAGGCAGTTCCTGTGGAGTTTTCGGTTACCAGGAGAAGCCCAGAAAATTGATCGTATGATGGAAGCCTTTGCTCAGCGGTACTGTCTTTGCAACCCAGGGGTCTTTCAGTCTACAGGTACAGCATTTCTTGAGAAAGAGAATGGGGGCCTCTTAAGTTGTGAACTACAGACTTTCTCTGGGCAGTATGAATGTGGGCAGTATTTGAATCAGACTCTGAATATTGAGTACCAGGATATTCCTGCCATTTATTTCCCTGTGAGTTCAGTGGTATTTGAGTGCGGAGCGTATTTTTCCTTCGATGGGCTTTTACGGTTGTTTAGGTTGCAGCTCTTCTTTCTGTCTCCCATTGCCACATTGTAATATAGAGTAGCCTGAAGACTCTGATCTCTTCTGTAATAAGGTACACACAACATTCAGAGCAGCCCAAAAGATGCAAGAGTCGCAAAACAACAAGCTGCACTTCTGTGACTTAACGTTCCCTCCATTATTTTTCCTATAATAATGATTTAATTCTCTAACGAGAACTTACAAGCAGAAAATCCTGTACGTTACATCTACTCAGATGCCTAGAAATAAGCTCTGAAATGCTTATTGGGTTCTTTGTTGGTTTCCCCTTCCTTCCCCAGATACGTGTTATGTCCTCTCCTTCGCGGTCATCATGCTAAACACCAGCCTTCACAACCCCAACGTGCGAGACAAGCCCACCGTCGAGAGGTTCATCACCATGAACCGCGGCATCAATGACGGGGGCGACTTGCCAGAGGAGTTGCTGCGGGTGAGGAGTTATAGCAAAGTGAATTCAAGGCCCGTTTTTTAGCTACACGATTCCCTTGTTTGAAGGCTAGTGGGAGGGAGGAAACAAACCACCTTTTTCAGTTGTTGTTTTTTTACCATTGTAAACATTCTCTGCGCAGTTCTGAGATACTTTTACGTAGGGTTTCCCAGGCTTCACAACTTTAAGACATGTGGGCTTCAATTCCCAGAATTCCCCAGCTAGCCATACTGGCTGGGGAATTGTGGGGGTTGAAGTCCACACATCTTAAAGTTGCCAAGGTTGGGGCTCCCTGTTTGTTTTAACGTAATGGTATTACTGCAACTGCAGCTTCTTCTATATTCATTTTAAATATTTTGCTTTTGTTTGTAAGTGCGTTTTCTGTATTACAGGTAGTCCTCAACTTACAAATGTTCATTTAGTGACCGTTCAAAGTTACAATAGCAATGGGGAAAAAATGACTGTTTTTCACACGACCATTGAAGCATCCCTTTGGTCACATGATCAAAATTCAGATATTGGTGGGCAGCTGGTTCACATTTATGACGGTTGCAGTGTCTCAGAGTCACGTGATCAGCTTTTGCGACCTTCTGACAAGCAAAGGCAATGGGGAAGCCAGATGCATTTAACATTACTAACTTAACATCTGCAATAATTCACTTAACAACAGTGGCAAGAAAGGCCATAAAATGGGCAGTCTTCACTTAACCAATGTTTTAGTTAGCAACGTAAATGTTGGGCTCAATTTGTAAGTGTTGAGGACTACCTGTATTTTGTCCACTCCATTGTGTAGTCCACCAAGCATGGTCACTGTGCCCTGGAAATTCAAACAGGCATACCTTTTTTCTTGCCAAATTGGAAAGGAATATAATTCCTGCCTATAATTCCTGTCCTTCCTCCCCTCCCGCTAGAATCTGTACGACAGCATCCGTAATGAGCCCTTCAAGATCCCAGAGGATGATGGGAACGACTTGACCCACACATTTTTTAACCCCGATCGCGAGGGCTGGCTCCTCAAGCTGGGTGAGAGGCGCGCCCCCTGTTTCCCCGTAAACACTACGGCCTTTTCTCCCCTTCCCCACTACCCTTCCCCCTGCCCTCTCCCACCACCCCACCCCATGATCTTTGCACGTCTCTGCACTCTCCTCTCTTCCCCCCACCTGTTGTGTCATTTAAAGCATGACCTCTCTCTTCATCAGATCAAAGGGATCCTCCTGAAATCCACCCTGATGTCCCTCCCTTTCCCATAAACCAGAGATACATATCTGTCTATATATATATATAAAACCCATGGGGATCCATTCAATTGCAGAGATCTCCCTTTTTTTCTCCCCACCTCCCACTTGAGGTGGATCTTCTCTTGACAGATGATGAGAGGGGTCTGCTGGGATTTTTTGTGAATTGCCTTTAAAAGCAGGCAAGTTAATTGAAAACCCAGCGTCAGGCCACTGAAAGCCATATCTCTGGCGTCTGATGTTTCGCCATTATTGCTGGTACCTTTTCAAACCTATTGGATGCATCTGTAAGTTGGGGATGGGGTGGGGGACAGGGAGGTTAAAACAATGGAATATTCCAGGCTTAAATCGGGATTCATAGTCAGACCATGCAGTCTTTACTTCTCCACACTATTTAGGGCAATTAGCAGAAGTACTATCAGTTTAACTTCTGTCATTAAACAATTTCATTAGTGTAGATAAAAACCCACATTATCTACTCTTGGACTACTTTGTAAACTAGAGACAAAGAATTCCTCTTTGGATAAGGAGCTTTATGATGTCATTGCTAGCTTGAAGCAAAGTGGAATAGTACTCTTGACCAGAGTGGGACATAAAATAGATAAGCTTTAGGAGTCTGAGGGAAACTTCCTGTCCATCCAAAGTAAGCTAAGTGCAGTATAAGGTCCAAAGCAGACAAGGCCACGAATGTAAACTCAGATCCAGCCAGAAGAAATCCAAAGCAACATCATGGAGTCAAAAATGTTATAATCCTTGGGATCAGCTGTTTTAACTGATTGGCTAAGCTGGTAATGTGGTCTAAAAGGTCCTTGGGAAACTCAACTTTCAGTCTTCTTTGGAAACACATGATGGCAAGATGGGATTCCGGTCACTGAGTCCTGGTTCCCTACCAGGAGATTGAGATAGAATAGTACAGGTAATCCTCGAATTACAACTGTTTGTTTAACAATCATTTGAAGTTACAACGGCACTGTAAAAAGTGACTTACAGATAGTTCTTGCATTTATGACCACTGTGGTGTCCCCATAGTCATGTGTGCCCAAGGTCATGTGATCCAATTTTGGGCGCTTGGCAACCTGCATGCATTTATCACAGTTGCAGCATCCCAAGTTCATGTGGTCACCATTTCTGACCTTCCCAGCCAGCTTCCAACAAGCAAAGTCAAGGGGGAAGCCAGATTCACTTAATGACCGTATGATTCACTTAACAACAAAATGGTCATAAACCTGGTCACAACTCGCTTAATGACTGCATCACTTAACGACAGAAAGTTCCAGTTCCAATTGTGGTTGTAAGTCAAGGATTGTCTGTAGCAGTGCTTTATTTTGCTCGGAGCAGAGAACAAGTTAAGGGATAAAAGCATACAACTGGAGGCTCTTTCACAATTGCTGGTCGAAAAAAACCCCTTTTAAGTTCTTTCACCAAGGATGTGGCTGTTTCCTACCACATCACCTTTTTCTGTGCTTTGGCGTTTGATAGAGCATCACTAGAATGTAGTGTTTGCTGTAGGTAAAATATTATTGCAGGCCTTCTGCTGTCAAACTGACATAGAGCAGGACCGATGGACAGTAAAGAGGAGAGTAAGGATTGTGTGGCCCAAACATCGTATGTTCAAGGTGGAGGAAACAAGAGAAAAGATGCAACATTTGGGCAGCGGGGGGGGGGGAGAGAAATAGAAGCTAACCTAGTCACTTTCCTCAGAGGAGTTAAATGGACAAAGTGAATTAATTTCGAAGAGCTGTGCTTGGAATCCAAATTCCTGGCTTGACCAAGATGCAGCTTGCTGGACAGGCCAGAGCCCTTGGTGACTTAGAACATCTATCTATACAAAAGAATGATTAGCAAACCATTGTTGCAATCATTTTTGCCTCCCTATGGAGGCCGTTAATGTGGCAATGTTGGTTGCATTGTGGTTTGCAAATATTGCCTAAACTGCTAGAACAGGGATGTCCATCCTTAGCAATCTTAAGACCTGTGCCCTTCAACTCCCAGAATTCTCTAGCCAGAGCTGAAGTGGGAGCTGAAGTCCACAAGTCTTAAAAGCTGCCAAGATTGGACCCTCCTGTTCTAGAGATAGGGTTTCCTCTAATCTGTCAAAGGTTTAAAAGGCTTTGTCACTTAGCAAAGTTATGCCTGTCCCATTTATACCCATCCCCATAAAGTTTAAAACCTTCCTCCCTCTGCCTGTCCCATTTTCCCATCCCATTGCTCCCAAATGCCTATGTCTGTGTTGGAGGATTTTTGATTTGACCATGTACTTCTACCTTATGTTGATGTAACTTGTTCTCCTTTCTCTCTCTTCCTCTCTCTCTCTTCCTCTCTCTTTTTTCTCTTCCTCTCTCTCTTTCTCACCCCCATTCTCTCTATCCTGACTCCCCTGGTCCCTGCCTTCTCTCTCTTTGCTCCCTTCTTTCCCCACCACTGCTACCCTGCCCCCCTCTCTCCTCCACCATCCCACGGCGCGGACTACATTTGTTCTACTGTCTGAATACTGCCCCCAAACCAGGAGGTAGGTGAGAGGAGGGGGCCTTTTGTTTTGCAGCTGAGAGCTGGTTTGCCTGCTGCATTTGGGACTGGAAGCGGGTCTGCGGTTGGGTTTTAGGGCACGGAGGGGTGGGACATGTGGGAATATCAGTTGTGACAGGGCTCAGTGGATACAAAATGAATGTGGAGGAGATGCAAGGAACTAGCAGTCTCTTCACCCCTAGAATGGGACATGTCTTGATGCAGGGGCAAGCATCCATTTTCTGTTGAGAGTCCTATCATTCCCTCAGTGATCATCTGTTTGGGACCATTTGCTAATTGGAGGGTGGGGCTGCAGCAGAAAGCAGTGGGTGGGGGCACCCATTCTCTCTTTTTGACATATCCATCACCCTTCCCTTTCTGACACTTTCCCTTCTCTCTCAATCTGTTCTGTCCCCCCACACACACACACCCATTGCAGCAAGCTACCAGGTAATAGACACAGCTGTTGACGCAGGTCTGAATTGATGATGCTTGTAGTTTTAGGACAGGGCTGCATACAATGAGGCTGTGGTGCCACTGGAGGGAAAGACAAAAAAAACCTTAATGGAGTGAGAGGCCGAGCAAGTTTTGTGGGGCGGGAGAGAAAATGTCATCTCCCCAAGGCGATGGAGGTGTTTTGGAGAGGTATGCAGATAGGTTATGAATTGTCCACAATCTGCATGTCATAAATAGTCCACCTGTCTTAATGGGTTACTATTTAGTAAGGAGGCCTATCCTTTCCCCCCCTATTAAAGTGAGAGAGATCTCTATATCTCTATAAGGTGGCTGCCACAGAGCATAGATTCTTGTATTTTATAATACTCATGCAGACGTCGAGATGCAACTTTTTGTTGAGAGGCAACATGTTATGAATGTCAGCCTTCAAGTTGTCCTTATTTTCCCAGAGGTATCTGCCTGGCAATTGTCGGAAGCAGCAGAAGACTGGGTTACATGGATTTTTGGTGTGTTCTGAAGTTCCACATAGAGCATTTTGGCATCTCAGCTTTGTCCATTTCCACGGGAGAAGCTATATGCTCTTTGAATTTAATTTAATTGGGGAATGCAAAAAAAAAAAAAAATAGTTGAAATCCTTATCCAGTGATAAGCCAGATTTGCACCCATGCATATGTACAGATTAGCTTTGCCTCAAGCTGGAAATGACTGCTGGCTTTGCAACAAATCTGAACTTATATCTTGCTTCAAGCCTAGAGCAATTGCTTGCTTTGCATGCTAAAAGCCCTGCTCTTTCTGAAAATGTAGGTTGTGTTCAGAAGAATCAAGTGCTTATTATGCAAAAGCTGTTTTCTCTCTGGAGTTGAGAACTTTGTTCAGAGAGGCTAGAAATTTCTCCCAGACTCCTCCACAGTGGCCTTGTTTAAAGCAGATTTGCTTGCGAGACACATTTATGCTTTGTTGGACCAGCTTGTCTTAAGTCAGGAATATATTTGCTTTTTAAAGTGTCAATTTATGCTCAATGATAACCCTGATATTTAGTTGCTAAAACACACGTCCAAACTGACAATAAATTAAATCTGCCCCCACTGTTGTGAGCTTCAGGACAGCCTTACAAATCTCAGCATAAAAAGGAGCTTGAATTGTATCCATTCTCATGTTTACATTAAGGAGACAGTAATAGGAGATAGTAAATTAGAAGCCCTCAATGTTCATATAATAAATCCATTGTTGGAAAAGGTACTATTTTGCGAACTCCTAGAATCCTTTCCAGCTGTGTTTCATTACTTTGACTCAGTTTTATGTTCTTTTTGTCTTGTTCTTCCTTCTTTTATTTTCCCTCATGTGTCTTACGTTGTTTCTGTATTCTTTATTGCATTGGCTTTGTTCATAAGCATGGCTTCCCGTAGAGAAGGTAGAGAAAGTTTTGCGAGCAAAGTAAACATAGATGTAAAATGAGAACGGATTCCCCTTCTTGTTTTCAGGAGGACGGGTGAAGACATGGAAGCGACGCTGGTTCATCTTGACTGACAACTGCCTCTATTACTTTGAATACACCACAGTTAGTACAGTTTCCCTCTCCCACCCATCCTGCACTTCCTCTATTAGCAAGTGGGAATCTTAAGAGTCCTAGGAGGGTTTTGCAATTCAGGAAATCAAATGGCCCAGTTGGGCAGGAAGGATGGTGACAACAGGATGGCAGTCCAGGAACAGTGGCCCACTTGGAGCAGAGAAGCTGCTCAAGAAATATTATTTTTTGCAAGAAGTATGTAGGCAGAAAGAAGGCAGGATATAGCAAACTGTTCTTCTTAAGCTCTGCAAGATTAACAGCCGATGCATAACTGCTCCCGCCATGATTTTTATGGCTGTAGCCAAAATCAGCAGTAACTCTAATGCAGAGCACCAGGGCTGTTCCAAGTCCTGCAGTGCCATAGTGCTATAATAGATGAGTACATTATGAGAAGCTAGGCAGAGACTGCCATCTAGTCTGTCATACTGGTGAAGAGCTGGTTTCTTTGGGTTAAGACTCTAATCTGCTTTATGAAATCTATATCATCTTAAGTCATTAGATAATTATGGCGAGATCAAATTTGGGTCGGCCACCAGGACCAGAGATTTTGGACTCGCACTGGAGCCCATCTTCAGGAAGCTTCTCTCTTTTGGAATATGAGTTGGCCTATTTTGTGAGTCGTATATATGTGGTGTCTTCCTACTGGCTGATTGATGTGTTGATGGCTGACAATTGGCTGTCATTTCCTTGTGCTGGTACTTGATAAGCTGGTGGTAAATCAGCACTCCTGTTAACAGACAAGGGGGCCGTTTCCCAGGCTTCAGGCACTTCCCTGGCTAACACACTAGTCAGCCAATAGGAAGGCATCACATAAATATGATTCACAAAATAGCCCAAAGGACATATTCCAGTAGACAGGAGTTCCCTGAGGATGGGCTCCAGCACGAATCTGAAAGCTCAGAAAAGTAAAACTCTGGCTCAAAAGTAAAACTCTGGTTCCGGTGACCAACTCAGATTCGATCTTGCAACATGATCTTGGGGCATGTATATTTGCCTTCATTTGTGAGATAAGATTATTCTCACTCTTGATTTTACCTTCACAACTGCCTTGTGAGGGAGTTCCAGCTGAGAAATAATGAATCTAGTGAGTTTTGTGGGGGAGCGTGTGTGTGTGTCCAACATTAAAACTATTTCATTACAGCCTGCTCATTCTTCAAACTCTAGAAAAAGTCCATTTAACACAGCCTTTCTCGAATGTGTGCCTTCCAGACACAACGAGAATACAGCTCTGAGAATTTCCAGTTAGACTAGCTTATGGTTAAAAATCCTTGGAGCTATCATCCCAAATTGGGGAGACTAATTAAGCACTGCCTTCGAAAAGATTTCTTGGAACAGATGCTTTCAGAGTCCTAAGTCTTACCTATCCAGATTATTGGGCCTATTCTGTTTCATTCATATCTTTAAAATCCATTTTTAGGATAAAGAGCCAAGAGGCATCATCCCATTGGAAAACCTAAGCATTCGGGAAGTAGAAGACCCACGGAAACCAGTAAGTGGTGCTGCATTATGATTGCTTACAGCAGGGGTCTCCAACCTTGGCAACTTTAAGACTTGTGGACTTCAACTCCCAGAATTCTTCAGCCAGCTTGGCTGGCTGAGGAATTCTGGGAGTTGAAGTCCACAAGTCTTGAAGTTGCCAAGGTTGGGGACCTCTGGCTTACAGCATTGCTAAAGTGGCAGCTTGCTGAATGAGATTCTTGGTTGGCTACACTTTGCAGAAAAAATTATATTTAATTTTTCTTCTGATTGTCTGCCTTGGACCAACACTCCACAAGTAAAGCTTGGGCAGGCAGGCAAATAAAGCAAACCTTGAAGACACTGGATGGGCAGAGAGTTAGCAAAAGCTTTTTTTTTAAAGTTCTAGGAGAGATCTCTTCATTTACCTCTGTTCCGTGTGGTTCATATGGTTCACAACCAAGCTCAGAGAGCACCAAGGTCTCCACAGTTCAGCCCTGAAATACAAGTATTTGTTTCCCTTCTCAAAACATTCTCTTTTATTTCCCTTCTCTGTACCCCCAAATCAGCTGGAAGGCATTTTCACGAACCGTTTGCAAATGGCTGGCTTTTAAAAGGCTTTCTCTTCCTTTCATCACTCTTTTATTTTATTTTTGTAGAATTGTTTTGAACTCTACATTCCCAATAACAAGGGCCAGCTAATCAAAGCCTGTAAGACTGAGGCGGATGGACGTGTGGTTGAGGGGAATCATATGGTCTACCGCATCTCGGCGCCTACACAGGAAGAAAAAGACGAGTGGATTAAATCCATCAAGTGAGAATAAGACATTGTTTCTTTTTCAGGATTCTTGACTCCCAGCTCTAGCTCCTGATATTCCACCTTGAATTTCAAGACTTTATTTAGCAGAAAGGAACTGATAGAATTTCTGTGGAGATTAACCCAAACTTTAGCACAGAAACTTCACAAGATGTTAGGATGACCTCCCCATGAATCTTAAATTAGGGATCTTTTTTTTCCCGTCTGTTCTTCTCAGTTAATATCTGTCATGCAGAGATACTATTAAATTAGAAAGATTTCTTCTTTTCAGGAAACCTTTGGTTACATAATTCAGAAATGAAGAAATTGATAGAATATTCTTAATATAGTCCTTAGAGATTTTGGAGCTACAGAAAGAGGAAGAAAAACCTGATTTGGTAATCTTAGAAGTGGTTCAATTATGTAAAGTATTGTGGGGGAAGAATACGTTAAGGTCCCAAGTTTTAATCTTTCCACATGCATTAAGAATAGGAACAGTCCAAAGAGGCTTTTATGCAGTTTAATAAAAGCTAAATGTTTCATTCAACATTCTGAATAGCACATAAATTCATAGTAGGATTCTTGGAAAACCTAGAGCTAAATAAGGCAAAAATTTAATGTCGTAGAAGTACCACTTCTCTGCAGTAACATAGAGAGGTGGGTAGGTGGGTAATGCAACATCTGCGATCAAAATATTATAGCCCATGAAGCTTAGACATGTCCAATTTGCTTCCTTTAAAAATAACTTAGTAAGTTACCTATTGTAATCCTTAGTCAAAACTCTCTCATTTTAATCTGTTGATCTGAGGTTGCATTTCCTCATTGCAGTGCATATAGCAAGCTTCCCTAAAGAGCACACTGTTTGTTGTGACTTAACATGTCAACAAATATGTATAAACATACACTTTACTTCCTTTCCTTCCTCTCACTTTTTCTTCATTTCCTTGTTAAGAGAATGTTTAGGCCATTGATTTGATCCAGTTTAGTTGAAGGGTTAGTCGGCGTAGCTGTATAACACAATGGGTGGAGCTCATAGAGTTAAATTGAGCTAAAAGAAAATTTTATGGGAGCCCAACCACTATCTTAACCTGTTCTGCAGAGCAAAGGCATAACATGGCATAATTTCAGATCATAGCTTGTCCTGTGAACACAGAAGTTCTCTTGACATCAAACTAATCTTGAAATGTGGTGTGTCATATAAAAGCGAGCATTATATTAATGGCTAAGCAGGATTTGGAGTTTGTACTTCCAGATCTACCCACCAGCTATGCTGCTCGAGGTTTAAGTGGGGATGGAGGGGAACACGGTCCCTTTCCCTCTTTTGTACCTGGCTCCTTAATGCTCCATATCGCACTTTTTCACAGGGCTGCTGTAAGCGTGGATCCTTTTTACGAGATGTTGGCTGCCCGCAAGAAACGGATCTCAGTGAAACAGAAACAGGAGCAGGCATGAGGTGGGGATTAACTAGTTCTCATCCTTTCCCCTCTCTGTACATCCTCCTGTATCATCTCTCGGATCTTCTGACAAGCCCACCTGGGTCGAACTCCATGAAACCAACCATTCCTATTGTGGGTCCACCATGCTACTTGGCCAGTCTAATGGCATGCCAGCATCCCACTGCCTCCACTCACTCATCTCTCCAGAGCTTCCTCTAGCCCTGTGGGGGTTTGCCAGTGGGACTTGAGCTTGGGAACTGCCAAGGTGCGGCAACTTCAGGGAATGGATGCATCCTTTTGTTTTTGAGGCAGCTTCTCCTCCAGACTGAATTAACTTTCAGCCTTCGTCAGACAGAATCAGATGGCTTCGAAGCATCTCGGTTAACCCCACCCCACCTTGACTAGGGGGCAACCAACTTTGATCATGATATAAAGGAGCATTTCCTACTTTGGACTTCTTCGTTCTGCTTCCCAACATAACAGCTGGTCTGCATGTCTGAGAAGAAGAAGAAATGGAAAAACCCCTTCAGACTATTGGCAATTTAGAACGTGGGGAAGGCCTTGTTTTCCCTCATCAGCTACAGAAAAACCGCACCTTGCGCACCTAGGCCAAGCACATCAGGGAGTAAGCTAGCATGTCTTTTGAACTGCTAGTTTTTCTGTGTTTCAGGATCACTCAAGTCATTTAATTTCCCCAAACTGCTTTCTGATGCCGATAATCACAGGAGCATTTCTGACATGCTTTTCTCTACATGATGTCTCTTCGAGTTTGTTGCCAAAACCAGCCACTGAAAGCGTTATCCTGGGTCTGGCACACTTAATGTTTATATGTATTCCCCATTATCTGGGCTTAATGAAAAGAAGTAAACAACACCAACAACCAGCTGGGGGCCAGAGAGCCAGACAACTAAAGTATACGCACTGACATAATTTTGAACACTAATTGTTGCCTCCAGCAGGAATAACTGACACACATTTGTAACTGACAGCTTATAATTCTTCATTGTTAGGCCCAGAAATCATGGTTTTCAAACTTCCTTGACTGTCAAGCAACAACTGACTCTTTCCCCTCAGCTACTCATGAAGTCATTAGAACATGGCCTCTACCACTAATTCTCCCTGCCCTTTCCTGCCTCAAGGGTAGCAGCAACATATGTGAGGCTTCCTTCTGTAGTTAATTCAATACATTTTAGTGGCTTACAAATGAATTCAAATGAGAACACTGCCACTTTCATGTTATAACATGATCATTAGGACACTCCCTAATTGGGCGATGACAGTTCTGTTTCCGGTAGAACTGCAACAAGAACTCCGGTAGAACTGCAACAAGAATCGTCTCTCCTTTCTACATTGTCTTTTCTAGAATCAGATTTTTTTAAAAAAAAAAATTCTGGAAACAGTTTTCTTCAGATAACAATAAGTCATGCTATCAGGATGGTTAAAAGACTGTCTCTCCCATTTTTCCAGAACTCATTGATACTTGCACATTCAGGTTATAGGATCAGAGAACAATAAAGAAGGAAGAGAGAATGACCTTATGAATCGGAAGAAGAATTAGTCTCTGTAACTCCCTTTTTGGTTGGGTGGTAAGAAGTGCAAAGAAAAAGTAGCCCTTAATTTAGAACCAATCTCTTAGCAACCAAAATTCTGACAGATCCCTCCCCCAGATGTACTTACAATCCAGATTCGAAGTTGCAACAGCTGGGGCCCCACCTCACCCTGCAGTCATGTGACTACATTTTGGGTGTTTGGCAGCCATCTTGCATTTATGGCCATTTTCAGCTTCTGGTTACGTGACTGAAATTTACCAAGGGTTTTTTTTTTTTTTTGCAAGAAACTGGCATTTCTGATTCCTGGCAAAAATATGGCCATTGCAGAGGCCACAAAAAATGTCATGAATTCAGGTGGGTTGTGTGAAGATCCCATTTAACAACTATAGCAAAATGTATGACCTTAATTCCGGACTCAGTTCTGGTCAAGGCTACCTGTAGTAGTTGTATTAACACCTTTCCCTTTTCTCACCCCCTAAGATTTTAAGAAGTTTGCTCTTCCCAGTGATGGCCTCACCTCACTGGCCAAGCCTCCCCAGGCCCTCTCCTAATCAAGGAAGTGGGATATTGTACCTCCTTATCTTGCAGCTCAGAGCTACAAATCTAGTCTTCCACCACTGCTTTTCCTCAGGTCGTCCCTTGAGTATAACACCTCGGGGGTCTGAAGGCTTTTTCAAACCCCAAGTTGAGCTTTCTAAATCGCCAAGCACTTTGTGGCACATCTCAGGCCTTTGCGAAGGAGCAGAGCAAAGACCTCAGGAGCTGCAAAGGTCTCTGGCTCAATATTGTAATATCTTCGTCCTCATGCATTTCAGCCAGATCGGCACCCCCTGCCTCTCAAAACAGACACATCAACTGCAGCCAGTTCAAATCCTGTTGGATTTAAACACAAAGCATCTTCCCCCAAATTAGAAACACTGAGATCAGAATAAGGGGTTGTGTTTTATTCCATTTAGAAGAAAAGCATGAGGGAAAAAAGTTAAAGGCAGCCAGTGAAAAGAAAGGGATTGATTAATTAATTTCCAATCTTTATATGGGCAGGTGAAAATAAATACCAGAAAATTCAGGATACTCTTAACGCAGCATTTTCCATCACAACCCTTTAAGCAGTTCGCTCAAAGCTGACCCATCTGCTTTATACCTGCTAAAACCCATCCTAGGAAACCCCTTAATCCCTAATCCTAAAGGCTGGCTGGGGAATTCTGGGAGTTGAAGTCCACAGATCTTAAAGTTGCCAAGGTTGGATAGCCCAGCCCTAACCCATGCCTCCTTTTCAATCTTAATTTAATTGCCTTCCCAAAGTGGCTAGCCTTTCCCCATTTTAACTAAGGTTTAATTCTATTTCAGATCTAAATGTGTAACATATTTTTATAAATGCAAGAGTTTCAGAAGAGGAAGGTTAAAATTATCAATCTTGTAGCTGGCAATGAGGGAAGAGATTGCCTTTTTTCCAGCTGTGTGTCATGACCAAAATTATTTCTCCCAAGCTATGATTTGTGTAGAGATGGGAGGCAGGGGAAAACTCCCTTTATTTGTTTGAAGGATCAGTTTTTTACCAAGACTCTCTTTACTTACTTAATAATGATCAATTCCCCCCCCCAGACACACACACATACTTTCCACCCTCAATATTGTCCTTGGTTTTTTGACCTGCCTTCTGATTTTATATCTCTGGAAAAGCATCTTTGTACATTGGGACTGATTATTACTTGTTCTTCAGCAATACAAATAGTCCTCTTCTCCATTACTCTTCATTGCGGATTTGAATATCTTGTCTTGTAGGAAGGAGATATAACAATCCCCCCTCCCTCCTTACTCCTGAAGACAAAAAAAAGAAAGACGGGCATTTTTTGTTTCAAGAAACTATATGATATTTCCTTTGATGGTGATGTTTTTGATTTATTTGTTTTTAAAGGAAATGTTAACTGTTATTTAAAAAATTAATGTATACATCTCTGGATGATATGTAAACACCACGAACTTATCTATGTTTTGGCTGATTTGTTGTTTTATTGTTATATTTATTAAGGGCCTAAGATGGCCAAAGGGGAGAAACTGGAGTTTTGAACTCACAAACATTTGCCTTCTGTTAGACCAGTGGTTCTCAACCTTTTTAATGCCGTGACCCCAACCGGTCGTAAGTCAAGGACTAAACCGGTCGTAAGTCGAGGACTAAACCGGTCGTAAGTTGAGGACTTTCCCTGCCCGGGAGCGCCGTGCATACGTGGTTCCGCCCCCTGCGCCAGCCGAGGCGTAGCTGGCAAGCGGCAGAGACGGAGCAGGCTGACCACCAGCTGGACCAGCCCAAGGGAGGTAAGGCACCCACTGGAAAAGGGGGAAAAAAATGGCGGACAAAAAAAATGGTGGACAAAAAAATGGCGGACAGCCTTGCTTGGCGACCCCCATGAAATGGTCGATCGACCCCAAATGGGGTCCCGACCCACAGGTTGAGAACCACTGTGTTAGACATCCTTTTTTACTTAGGAAAGGGGGAAAAGCAACTCCACTTAACACCCAGCATCTGAAAAATTCCAGAAATGGATAGGAATTGATGAAATATGACCTTTCAAGCTAGTCTGCTGTAAGAGAGAGAAAGCGGGGTGGGGGAGGTGAGGTGTTCCATCTACCAAAGGCTTCCCAGAAGCCAGGTTAGATCTCAGCATTGGATTCAGGGTCACCAAGGAATCCTCCTTGAGGCTATTAATACAGTGCTGATCTTGCACATCCGTCTCTCTGCCAAGGGACCAGATGTAATACAGTAAATACCATTGCTAATAAGATTGTAAACAGGCGAGTGACCTGTTTACCCCCTTTTCTCCCTAAATAAATGCTGAGTTTTCTTCTGACATTGAAGATTTCCTGGTATTCTGCAAATGCGGCATGAGGGCTACTAATTTATTTTATTTATACCCCGCCTTTATTATTTTTATAAATAACTCCAGATGGCGAACATACTCTTCCCTCCTCCTGTTTTCCTATTAATAGCAGTTAATATTATTAATAGCCTATATCCTACTCTGCTCTATGCCCGGGAGACCTGGTTACAGGAAATCTGAAGTTTTATGCATTGTGTCGACAAATATTTCATTGAGTAAATTCACCTTCGTTCAGTGGTCTCACCTGATGGGAGATAAAGCATGTTATTTAATATCAGTAGCACTGAGATTACTGCTGTGGCTTTATTGAACTTACATAGGGAAGAAACAGACTTTCTTAAGTAAAAACTTTATTTCTGGATGAGACACCCATGTTCTGTAAGAGACATCTCCGTAGCTGAGATAGTGAATGTTAGAACAAGTTCCTTTTAAAATGATACTTGGAGGTTTTTTTTTAAAGGATTTAAAAACTTAAACCTGTCTCCTACTTGGGGCACCTCTTAGTCGAATGTAAATTAAACATATTTAATTGATTTATTTGTTAGCAGTCAATAGCATGAAATTACGTATAAAAGTTTACAGAATCCAGCCATTGACTAAATCAGACTTCATTTCTAAAATCTAAAAGAATGGTCTCCAGATCAAGATTAAAAATGCGTATGGTAAAATGGTTATTTTTTTATTAGTGCTTTTGTTCTAAATTCACAATGGATCATTAAGGAAAGGTGGCATCTTAGGTTTCTCACTATCCAATCTCTCCAATCTGGTGCCCTCCAGAAAACCTGGGAATGGAACTACAATTCCCAGAATTCCAAGTAGACAATGCTCTGAGGATAACAGTCCTAAGTCCACATCATCTTTAACTAGACCATGAGCTTATTCTCCTAAAAATAGGCTCTGTTTGGGGGGCATGTGGGATGTGCTGATGAAGGAATACTAAGGTACTTATAAATAGTAAGAACAAAGACACATGGAGAAGAATTATAGTTTGTTTGGCAAGTTTATTGCATCCGGTTGCTATAAGAAAATTCAAGACAGTTAAAATTACGCATCCCTGTCCTTGAATAAAATAACTGTACATTCTCTCAAAGTGAGGCAGGGCACCTGTTATTTGCAAGCAAAATCTACACTATGGAATTCTAGGCTAGAAAGTTTGTGTGCTTCTGCACATCTGTATACATGCAATAGAAGAAATTTGGTGTTGTATTCAGAAAGTTTTGTCTCTTCCCCAAAACCAAGCTTTTTTAGGTCTCCCTTTTAAGCCAAAACAGATGTAATACTGTATGGAGGATTGCTATGATCAGTTGCTCAGCAGTGCAATTAATTTAGACTTTGAATTTAATGGTTTACATTCTTCATTTCCCCTACCTTAAATGGTCATCTTTATTAAAATACCTGCCTCAAGATAAGCTAGTCCTGTAACATTTGGATGCTTTATTGCTGCTTTTTTATATATAAATGTTTTATTGGGTTTTATAAGGGTAGGGAAAGGATAAGTTCAATATGGATATTGGATGAGGTTAGGGGATAGAGTTGGGATAAGAGTAGGGGTAGGTACAATAGTGGGGTTACCCCTAGTAAAAAATTCAACGCTTTAGCAAGCAGACTATCGTCCGGGTACAAATATTAAATGACAGTAATTAATATAATACTAAACAGTTATAATCACTAATAATAACAATAATCATAAAAATAAAGCTTAGTTAATATCATTCATCCTGTTAAACTTCACCGTCCTTTCTCGTTCTATCGTATTGCTAACCATTGATAAAATTTTTCCCATGTTTTGAAATAAACTGAATCTTCTTTCTCTTTAATCTCTAAAGTTAATCTATCCATTTCTGCACATTCTAAGATTTTCATGATTATAATCTGGTCAGATGGTAGATTTTCGTTTTTCCAAAATTGGGCAAATGCTATTCTCGCAGCTGTCAATACATGTAATATTAAATATTCTCTTTTCCATGATTAAGTCCTAATATTCCTAACAAAAACAGTTCTGGCTTAAATTCTATCTGTATTTTAGTCATTTTTTCCAGCCATAAGTGAATCTTAAACCAAAATCTTTTTGCATTAGGACATATCCACCAGGCATAATAAGTACCTGGTTTTTGTTTACATTTCCAGCAAATATTCGATACATTTTTAAACATTTTCACTAGTCTAACTGGTGTCATATGCCATCTATAAAACATTTTATATAAATTCTCTTTGTATGAAGCTGCTTTAGTAAGTTTAAGTTTCTATCCCATGCTTTTGCCAATCTTCTAAGTCTATAGAATATCCAAAAATTTTTGCCCACACTATCATTGTTTCTTTTACTTGTTCTTCTTCCATCTTCTAGTTTAAAAGAAATTTATAAAGTTTCTTAATCAGGTTTTCATCTGTTTTCAAAAGTATTTTATCAAATTGTATCTGTTCTTTGTAAAATCCCATTGATTTTACATCTTTTTCATATCTTGTTTGAATTTGCAAATAAGACCACCATGTTAAATCGATCCCTTGTTGTTGAAGATCTTGCCTGTCTTTAAGTTTTCCGTCCTTGTCCAAAATGTCTCTATAAGTAACGAGTTTGTCATAGTTAATTAAATTTGGGTAAGCAAACGCTTCCATTGTTGAAAGCCATTCAGGTTTGTTTGTTTTTTTTAACTAAAATTGTGCTCGGGCATCTTTACTGCTGCTGCTGTAAAACTAACACAGATAATCGTATAACAGTTATATATTTACAGCATTATCTAAGCAGGTTCAGGCACAGCAGTACTGATCAAAATTGCAGTACAAGGAGAATTCAAACATCATTTATGACTATCCACACTGAATGCTGGATATATTTGTTTTTCTTTTTGAAGGTTTAGATATTCCTCAATGAACCTTTGTCTTTGTCCTCTCTATATATAATGCTGAAAACAGAACACCACAGAAATTTCTCCTCACATATCAAGCAAGTTCTATGTATTCAGCACAGATTTCTACTGGGTGATGACTTTTCCAAAAATTTTGAGCCTTGCCATCAGTTTGCACGAATGATGTTATATTCATTCATCCAATATGAATTATGCTATATTGACTCTAACCCAACCTTTCCATTTTCATAGACCTCCAGTCACCGTTAAGATGGATTGGGTTAAACATCTAACACAATGAAATACAACTGTTTTTGCTGTGATATAGCAGAATGCTGGTCAACATGGTTTTTGCAGTGATGCATAATAGTACTTTATGATATTTGCAAAGTCTGACCTAGGGTTTCTAGAGCTGGTTAACACAGCCTCTAATTTTGGTTCAGTCCATGTCCAGATCTACATCCAGGTTATATTAGTTCATTCACAGTTGGAACATTTTTATCAAGCATAGCTTTATTCAAGTTTAGAAGAGATATATACAGTACATAAATACTATTTAAATTAATGGAGGGTGAGGGGAATGGAAAGAGAGGCAGAAAAATGGTGAATTCAGAAAAAGTTAAATACTAAGATATAGAAGTATGTCTTTTATACACTATACAACTCTTCCTCTAGACCTGACGGGTTTTGGCAATGATTTCCTGAGAAGAAGGTAAAGGTCCACTAAGCTGGTAGAAAATGTCTGAACAGAAATGCTGAGATTTGTTTAGTCATATGTCTAATCTATAAGAAAGCCATACAAGCCATCCTTTGACATTTTTATTGTCTTCATGAGCCATTTTGGTGTATAGAGCTTAATTCTAGATTAATGAATGAGTCTTTGAGAATTTGATTGATTGATTGATTGATTGATATAGCGCTCATCTCACCTACAAGACTCTAGGAAGCCTACAGAAAATAAAATACACAATATAAAAAATAAATAAAACATGACAGTCGGGCATCATCCAACCAATTTACCTGGTAAGGTGTTCATCTATTTCTCTAAAGATTCTGAAAAAAAAAACACCAGCAAATCCTTTTTCCCATTCCTCCCTTACATATTTTCAAATGTTACTGTAGAAAACTACTAGTCAAAAATAGGATTTTGACCTATCATAAATATCTTCCTAATGGACCAATGCTACACATCAAGGCCTTGAGAATGAAGTGTCCTATTGGCCATATTGTCATCATGAGGAATTTTATTTTTTTGTTCCTGCTCCTACATTAAGAAAATCCCAATACACAGTATAGGTTTATCATGGGTGGGAATGTTCCTTATTTTGAAAATTGCTCAACTTCATAAAACATATATTCCAAATTATACTTCACTGTATTTCTGGATCTTAAGATTTTCCTGCCATTAGATGCTGCATACATACCCATTTTCTTTTTGTTGCATGCATCCCAAACATAAAGGCCCCCATTCTTTTGTTAAGGAACCTGGAAATTTTGAATTCCCAACCCTTTTCACCATTGTATGAAATAAATCTTGAGGTCCTCCCATGCTTTGCCTTTAACCATTTGGTATCTTTCTCTTCCAGAGAATATTATGTCCATGTTTCTTTGGTTGATTTTTAGTGGCAGGCATTATATGGTAGTTTGATCACTCCTCTATGAAGTTCTATAGAGTTTTCAGTCCAACTGATAAGATCACCACCAATGGAGCTACTGCAGGTTGCCATCTTATAAATTTCAGCAGGTGTCACAACATAGCTCCACATGTTGAAATCTGACATTTCCCCAATGAAAGCTTGAGTGGCATCAAAGCGCCCACCAAGAGTGTCCTGTGGAAGAAGAGTGCAATAAATATGTATTCAGAAGAACCATGCACGATAGTGACGGAACGTGCGAAGGCTATTTACCTGCTCCTGGCCTAGTATGAAAACACCTCCAGGTTTCACAGGATGCCAAGGAGCCAGGTTCTCCCCACTCCCACTTTGGACACCATCCTGGTAAGATTTCCAGGTGCCATGCCGAGTTGACCATGTCACACAGATATGGTGCCATTTGGCATCATTAACGGCTAATGGCAAAGCGGCAACCTGCAAAGCAAAGGACAGAAAAGTTCAATTAAAAATGGGAATGAGCAAACCTGGGAGTTATGAACATGGCAAGGTACCAAACTTAACACCTTCTTCAAATACGCTGCACAAATAAACAACTAGAGATATTTCTCCTACCTTATCATTGATGAGCAACTCCATGGGGTTATTTCCCCATTGAATAAGCACCACTTCATTGGCTTGGTTGGGCACTGAGTAGGAGAAAGGTGTGCCTATCCCTGGGGATGAAGTTGATTTGAGCCAGAGACAGATGGAAAAGGCAAAGATTTCACGTTGCAGAGTGCGCTTGATCTTGATATACATGTAGTTGGTGCGAAGGGGGAAATCCACATGAAAATGTTCGGAGTGCTTATCTGCCTTGTTCCCTGGAGGACAGAAGAAAGCAGAAACATGGCAGTGCACTGCAACACAGGGAAATGGAGGGGAAGTGGATTATCCATATACTGCCAACTGATCTGCTGACCTATTAAGAATTGATTCTCCAGGATTGCCACACTCTTTCCATTAATGGAATCTCATGACCATTGTCAACCAGGCCAAAGTTCATGAACTTTACCAAATTTTCTTATTTTGGTTATCTTGCCTCCCTTTCATTTTCTCTGACACCTTTCTTGACTTAGATTTGGTGATGTAAGGATCTTAAAGGAGAGGTCTCTTCTCTTATTCTCTATAAAACACCATTGGCACTACATAAAAAATGATAACATTCACCCATCTCATTTTGAGCTGTCAAAACACTGTCATATGATTTCTATCACTATTCAAGATCATCTCTGCTGCACATCAATCACACATAGCTGGTTTTATAAACTATATTTTCAGACAATGTTCATTCCCCCCCTTTTTTTTCATTCTGTCCATTCATCTCTCTTTCTCTCCTGTAGAATAATGAGGTATTTTAAATATTCCTCAAACTATCATTCTCTTTTATCCATCTTGGTGTCCATCTCCATTCCTGCTGATTATATGATTATATGCTACTCAGATTCTCCAGAAATGCAGAAGTAAATAAAATAAATAAAATAATTCACCAAGTATTTAAACCTATGTTTCTCATCCATTGAAATGTTCATTAACATATTTACCTAAACTTATTTAATAGGGCTTTTTAAAAAAAAAAAAAATCAGGTTTAAATGAATATAACCATCATACCTCTTGAAGTGCTGGGCTTAACATTTCTCGTAATCCTTTGTCACTGTCTATGACAGTGATGGCGAACCTTTTAGAGCCCGAGTGCCCAAACTGCAACCCAAAACCCACTTATTTATCGCCAGGTGCCGGGTGGGTGTGGCCCACTGGGTGGGCATGGCTGTGGTCATGTCAGACTGGGTGGGTGTGGCCAAGGTGGGCGTGGTCATCTCGATGTTGCTTGTGGGGAGGGACAGCTGTGGGGGCCGGGCAGGGTTGGGGGAGATCCAGGGGGTCTTTGGCAGGTGGGGTGGTGGGCAGGAGGTTTTCCTGGGGGTGAGGTGAGGTAAGGCGAGGCAGGGCAGGGGTGCCATTGTCACAGGGCAAGGCGAGTCAGGGGCCGGGGTGGCTGCTGCCTGACACCATTGGCCCCCGCACACAGAGGCCAGTGAGCGCATGGGGGCTGACAGTGTCCGTCAGCAGCCACAGCCTGCCGGCCCCGCGACTGGCCCACTCTAGGGCTCTGCAGCCCACCGCCAGCAGTTCAGAGAAGCCGCTTCTGAGCTGGATGGCGGACAGCTGAAGAGGCGATGCAGTGGGTTGTGCCCGGGAAAAGGAGAACATGCGAGGCCAGGAGGGATGGGGTGTGGGGGAGGGAAACCAGCCATGCTGGGATGCATCCGGCCACATGGGAGCTCGGCGAGTTAGCGGGCGGCTGGTTGAAGAGGGACGGTTGCCATCTCCAAGGCATGGTGCGTGTGCCCACAGGGAAGGCTCTGAGTGCCGCCTCTGGCACGCGTACCATAGGATCGCCACCACTGGTCTATGATAATTGGGTCTGAGGAGAATTAAAATCTAGAATGGGTTAGAGTGGGACTATTCATATTCAAATTTCAGCATGACTAGGAAAATGCTTTGAGCCAGTCACTGTCTCTCAGTTTTAGCTATCTCATAAAACCAGTTGTGAAGACAAGGAGAGCTTTTTGAGAGAAATGAGATAGAAAAAGCAGTATGTAAATGTTAAATCACTGAACTTCTTCATTTGTCTCAGATCTAATTATATCCTGCTAATTATATCCTTCTCCAACCCAGCACCCTATCCTACTAATCAGGCAGTATGATCCAAAATCGAATGTTTGGGAATTTGGGAATTATAGTCTCTGATATCAGGAGGGCATACTAGGAAAAAAATATTTCTTATTTCTCCATTTCTCTACAAACTTGGCAACAGCTATCTAAATCTTTGGCTTCTTAATTGTCCATTTACTTGTCATTAAACCCACCTTTTATTATTAATTCTTTTTATTTAGCAGTTTCTCCATCCATTTTTACCTCATGAATGTGGACCAAAGTCTCCTTTCTCCTTTTGGCAACACCATAATTTCTTTTCTCTTTTTTTGATACCTTAAAAATTAATTTTATTACTACAAAGCTTTGGAAAGTATCACAAGACTGTTTTGACTCACAAGAGGATTGCAACACTACCCACCTGAAAACTCAGGTTTAGTCACTCACCTTTCTCCATCGTGCGTCCATGTGAAGCATGCCTTTGTCTCATCCCCGTTGCTTTCGGTACGCTGTGCGTCTGATGTTCTGAAGTGTTGGATTTCTCATGGATCTGATGCTCCAACATGCTGATCTTTTCCTGAAGCGTATCCCACATGGAGGTGGGGAAGGTTGAACTATTCCAGTTGTGCTGGAGAAGTCAGGGCAAATGCTCATGTTAATAATAGTCTGCCATTTCTCTGGACCTTTCTCCTATACTAGGGGTAGGCAACCTTGGTCCTTTTATGACTCGTGGACTTTAACTCCCAGAATTCCTGAGCCAGCCATGCTGGCTCAGGAATTCTGGGAGTTGAAGTCCACGAGTCATAAAAGAGCCAAGGTTGCCTACCCCTGTCCTAGACCACCTCTATTGTGCTGCCTCTTTCCCTTCCTTAAAATTCCACCTGAAAGCCATTATCGGTATGAAGCATTTGGTCCAATTCCTGAGTTCCTGCCTATATGTCAGCCAAGCCAAATTTTAGATTGTATTTGCAAATGATGGTATGTTTTCTTCTTGCCTGAAATGAGATTCCCACTAATGGTACCATACACATTATCTCTTCCTGTTCTGTGCCTCGCTATTACCCCCATTTAACTCATTTACAATGCAATCCTATGCAGGTCTGTTTAGTCTTTTTCAGTCCAAAGGGTCTTCCTTCCATTGCATGTACATAGAGGATGCTAAATTTAGCCGCCTTCCGGCATTAACCCTATTACACAACAAAGAAACTCCTGGACCTCCAGAAGGAAGTTCTGCTAAAAGGAGGGACTTTTGCTAGTTTTGCAATAGCCACTCCACGCACAAAAAGATTGCCTTGAATAACTTTGCTCCATCTGAAGCTTCAGTGGAATCAGAATTGAACCCGGGCTCCTTATATTCTCTGTGTGGGTGTGCATACAGTACATATGTGTGTGAGAGAAAGAATGTTTGTGTGCTTGTGTATGTGTCCATCCATCATGTTCCTTCATTTTTGACTAAGCAAAGTTATGCCAATTGCAAAGCAAAGAATAAAATAATAATAGTTAAAAAATTAAATGACTTAAGGAAAAGAAAGGAAATATAGTAAAGCCTAGTTTATACACCATTCACTATACTTCTCGGTGCCTTTTTTTCTTGAAAGCTATCCCTCCTGTATTTTATTTTATTTTATTTTTATTTAATTAATTTTAATTTTATTTCATTTTATTCCTCGGCTGCCCATCTCCCTCTGCAAAGCAACTCCCGCCATTTTCTTCGTCACTGCCTGTTGTTCTTTGGATGGCGATTTTCTCGTTCAAATGTTGCTATCAGTTGTGCAAGGGAGCTTAAGTAATTATGTTTAAAATATCCCCTTCACCCCATACATTTTCCAGACTAGCACTATGGTAGGTAGGCACATTGGAAAGATTAGAAGAAGCAGCAGGAAGAATAATTGTGAGGAGTTAACTCTGGTAGAAATCTGAAATCTGTGGGGAAGTATTTTAGCTTTTAAAGGGAAGGTAACAGCGTTCTTTAGAATTGTTTGCTTTGATCATATAAAGCAGAACGAGGGAGAAGAGACGATGAAATGAAGGATCATAGATGAAAATTGATGGAACAAGAATAAAAATGCTTACAATAATTGCTGGCTGATCAGAATTTTGGACAAATTTTGAAATAAAGAGGGGATAAGGATGGTAAATGTGAAGGTGAGTATTAGGATCGATGGATAATAAACAAGTAATTAAAGAACAGATAGATTTGAGAAGATAGATTAAGTGCATTGAGAAGGATAAGTTAAAAGCTAATACCTGTAAGTGCTCCAGTCTCTCCTTCAGGGATTTCAACATTCTCTCCATCTGATGTATTGCAGCAGATGCCTCATTGGGTGGATCTTCCATAGCATTAGCCTGAGCAGATGTAGATCCCTTGTGAGAAGAATCATGAATGTTGTGCCTGACTTGTGGTTCGTGGTTCCCTGGTTCTGCAGTCTGATGATGCTCATTCTCTTGGGCATGGTGGCCTTCATGGAGATCTCGATGGCCAGTGTCACGGTGTCCCCTATGGCCATCTTCATGATGTCCCCTTTGGCCATTGTCATGATGGCCCCGATACCCACCTTCATGATGGCCGTGCTTATGGTTATGATTCTCTTCCTGATGATTTCCATGATGTTCACTATGCCTCCGGGAATGAGTTTCACAGCGGCCCAGCTTGGCTATCAGTTCTCTCATGGTCTCCCTCTGGTCAAGGATCATTTCCTTTTGATGCACCACTGTCTCCCTCAGATGCAGGATGGTTTCCTTAGCTTCTTCTAGAGTCCCCACCCAATGGCCATTGCCTGCACCATTAGCTGCACCTCCATGTCGTTGATGGCCATTTGACTGGCAACCACTATCCATATCCAATGGCATAGGACTGCAGATAAATTTAGGTAAACCATGTTCAGAGGCTATCAGTAGTGGGGAAACAACGAGACAGAGCAAGGTCCAGTGCATTGCGATCACCAAAGGTGGGATGTTTAGTGGATGGGAAAAGGGTAGGAGCGGGGATGGAAATGGGCTGGGCAATTCAGGATAGATTAGATAGCCACAGAAGCAGATGATAACTTCCAGAAAGGCAAAGTCTTTAGAGCTTGAAGAATCCTATTGTACAACAGATTTCAATCCCGCATCCATTATCCAGATCTTCTCTTAGATAGCCAATAAAATTCCACCAGAAGAAATTCAACATCTATCAAGAAGGAGATACAAAGGTCTTTGACAGGAGAGAAGATACTCTAGATGAAGCTCTTCAAGTCATGTTTGGTTCACCAGGTCACCAATACCCAGAATGGCTGGTTCCATTGTCTCAGAAACTGAAGCTTTTCCTCCTTCCCAAATATCAATTTCTTGCTTCTCAGCAGAGCCAAACTGCCAGCAGACATCCAGGCACTATAGTCAGGTGGGTTTTGTACTTTTCCTGCCTTTCCTTCCTGTCTAATTTGCCAAATCCACTGGTGATGAGGAGCAAAGCATCGTTTCCCTTGGCGACTGAGAATTAATGGGCTTAAAGTGTTACAGCAAAGCTTTTGCATTCACCACTGCCAACCGTCTCCTCTCTGTTGCTAAGGCTTCTAGCCTGGCAGCCTATATATAACCCCTCCTGAGAAGCTAAAGCTTCACTCAGAAGAATTAAGGTATCAGCCAAGAAGAAATAAGCTAAATCCAAGCTATGAAATTATTCCTATTTTTCTCTTCTAATGGCAATTATTTACCCAGAGTGTATCACTTCCAGCTGGATTTTGAGTACATGAAACTTCAACAATAATAGGAAGGACAATTGTGCCAAGTAGGTAAAACACACACACACACACACACACCTCTAATGCATAGCTAGATGATCTTCAGATAGACCGTGCCTTTCCATCCAAGGGCCTAATCAGATAATTTCAACTATACGAAAAACACAAAGCAATCTGAACCAAAATATAAACATTACATTCCTAATATTAAATTAGTGGTACACAATGTATTCCAGTGTCCCAAGGCTTGGGAAGTTCAAGACACCTCCAACATGGTATTTCCTTTGAAAGCAAGAGTTTTATTTTGTAAAAATGAGGAAAAAATCTATATTTCAGCAGAATAGAGTACCTGGCCCACAGATGAGTCTGTGCTTGACAATAGTCCTGATGACCATTTCAAAGTAGGCTTAGAAACTGTAGGTCTTAGAACAGGGGTGTCAAAGTGCCAGCCCGCAGGCCAGTTGCATCATGCAGAGGCTGCATCCACCCCAGTTCCGGCAATGCAAAAAAAGTCGCAATACGTTGTGACACATATTGACCCCCATGTCTTAGAAACTCTTCTACCAAGTTTTGATTTCTCCTATAAGAGACAATTTATTCACCCATATTGATAGTTTGCATTTTCTCCTCTACATTTCCTAACTAGTAGATTGAACCACTGAACGCTAGAATTAATTTAAGGTTGAAAGACTATTAACCCACGAGTTTCATCCATTCTAAATCTAGATGTAAGTTAGGCCATATGCTGGCTTGTTTACAATGTTACTTATCTGATTGTAGAGCAAAGTAGTCCAATGTGGAATACACATCCATGAGCGATGGAAAATGTAGTCCTTCAACCAGTCTCCCAATTTAAAATGAAAAGACTCCCAATCTAGATTAGACCATTGGGCATTTATAATAAAGAAAGTGAAAAATACAGATTGGAATGGGACAACACTTAGTGTATGTTTCTTTAGTTTAATCTTTGTTTCTACTACAAAGAAATGACTGAAGAGTATAATGATATGAAGGAATATCTAGGAATTCAATTGCTTCTTTCTGGGACCTGCGCCCAAATAAATCTCTAAAGCAGAGCAGCGTAAATTAAATCATAGGTAATTTGTTTTCATTGAGTGTAATGTGATTCAATTGTCACTAACTTAATCTGGATTTAATCATAATCCAGTTTTAACATACAAGTACCATCTTAGGATCAATTTAACATCTAAGATTAAATATAGACCAGAAACAGGAATTATGAAGTGCAGAGATATTTCTCTTTTAAAATCCATGCTACCAGGCCATTTAAAGTGGAATCTTTTAGTAAAATCCAACAACTATTCAGAATTTTGAATTTGTAACAAGCAATGACATTATTGTATTAATATGAATACAAATTTACTTTTGAGGGACTTTTAAAAAGAAACCTAATGCTTTTTCATGAAAAGTGTAATCTTTTATATTTTGTTCCCTCAATGTATTTTTGCCTCCAGCTGAGACCATTAATATGCATCTCACAAATATATATATATATATATATGTAGCGCTACCTCTTTAGAGGCCGCCAATGCCCAGGCCCTCCCAGCCACAACCCCCCTTGTCCAGCCTTGCGGTGATGTTCTTTAGAGATCGGTGAGATGTCTTACAACCGGAACTCATGCAGCATTGATGGGTGGCAGGCTCTTCTTGTTGAAGCAGGACTTTCAGGCACGAACTTAACCGGTCACAATGGTTGATGCCCCGAAGATGTATATAACAGCTCAGGGCTGCTTTAGCAGCAGGAGTAACAAGCCCCTGAGCAATCGTTCAGAGTC